CGGGACTCGATCCCGGGTCTCCAGGATCACGACCTGAGCCGAAGGCAGTCGCCCAACCAACTGAGCCACCCAGGCGCCCCATAATTATTTTTATATAATTTAAAGGCTTAACCATGAGTAACCATGACAATATGTGTATAGATATTCAATACAGAGATAAACAGTTTATCTCTAGCTATGTATTGATTTCAGCACTATCTTTCCTTCAAAAATCTTCCCTACCTTGCGTGTCTGTTCTTGTATCCATTCAATTTATAGTGGCAAATATAGAGTGGTAAATACAATATAGTCCTTGTTTGCAAGGAGTTTACAGTCTAGTTGGAGGGGAGGACAACAATTTAAAGATGTAATTGTGGGGGCCTGGGTGGCTCAGTCGGTTAAGCGTCTACCTTCAGCTCACGTCATGATCCTGGGGTCTTGCACTGGGCTCCCTGCTCAGTGGACTGCCTGCTTCTCCCTCTGCCTCTGCCCTTCCCCCCACTTGTATTCTCTCTCACTTGCTCTGCTCGCTTTCAAATAAATAAATAAATAAATAAATAAATAAATAAATAAATATCTTTAATAAAAAAAGATGTAATACATTGTGGATTGATTATATAAGGACTAAGTATAGGATCCTATTTGAAAAATTCAGAAAGCCATCTGGTCTAATGTGAAAGGAATCAGGAAGGGCTTCCTAGACAAACTGGCATGTAGACTGGTGCCTGACCGGGTGTAGAGGGGTTACCTAGATAAGAGAGTGATGGGGAAGGGAGATTATTCCAGGCAGATGTGGCAGCAGGTATAAAAGCCTGGAGGCAAAAGATGACAGGGCAATTGTAGTGACGTGAGGTAAGTTTACTGATGTTGAAATAGTGCAAAGTGAGAGATGCTAAGAGGCAAGGTTGGAGAAGGAAATGGAGAACCTAGTTGATCCTGAGTGGTCTTTATGACATGCAAGGACTGTGGGACTACTGGAAGGGCTCTGGGCTTAGAGGTGACATTGTCTGGATCACATAATGTGAAGCTGATTCTAGTTGTAATGTGGAGTACAGATTGAAGAGCCTTTGTTAAAGGCACGGGGAACAATCAAGAGACAGTTCAGTAAGAGACAGCAGGATCCTAGTGAAGGCATTAGTAGGGAGGATGAAGGGCAGAGGATGGACAAACAGAGGAGAAATCCAGGAGGTAGCCATGACAGGGTTTGGCAACTGATCGGATGTGGAAGTGGAGAAAGACAGAGTTAAGCATGATTCCCAGATTACTGATTTGAGTGAGTCAAATCTACCTCTATGCCAACCCATGCCATATGCTGTACACATTAGTGAACCTGGGCTACAATGTGGCTCTGTGTGTGCGCTGTGATGGCCCATTTGAAATGCTGTTCAGGCTTTTCTTTCTGCCTCATCATAATGCAAAGATATTATGCATTATGATACTATGATATCTAAAGATACTTTCTAGGTCTACTCATGCTGACTACATTTTTATCACACTATTTTATGTCGATCGCTCTCATATGAAAGTTGTTTATATACTTGTGTTCTTTTTTCTTGTAATAACTTTTAAGATCTACTCTCTTAGCAAGTTTCAAATATGCAACACAGTATTAATAACTATAGTCAACATGCTGCATATTACATCCCTGTGTTTTATTTATTTTATAGCTGGAAGTTTGTGCCTTTTGGCCCCCTTCATCCATTTCACCAGTTTAATTCCTGTGCTATGCCTTCCTTCACCCCTGTATTTTTAGGGCTATGGCAGGGCCTTGCCATGTATTTCTCAGATCACTTTCCACACACAAACACTTGGTTCTTTAATTGAAAATATCCATTTAGAGATGCAAGAGTTTAAATTTTTTTCTGAGTTTTCTCAAATACTTATGCATGCACACATATCTGAATAATGTCTTGGAAGTACAATACCCATTTTTTTCTATTAGAAAAAATTCTATTACTGTGAAAATGGTCATTACTTTCTTATGAATCTTAATGAATGCATCCTTCTGGTACTGTTCATAATCCCACATAGGATGAATAAAGAGATGCATGTACTATATCCACTGGTACATAGTGGATTGGATAAATTGCACAGGGAAGTTCCCCAGAGTGAATTAGCATCAATAATACATGCATATCTATATTCTATTCTGAGTCATGCTCATTGCTGCTACTGAAAATCCATTGTGCTGATATTTGTGCTCAGGATGTGCCTTTATGCATTCAATACTTTACTTTTAGTTAATATTGCATTAAGTTCTATATTAGAGTAAATTATAGGGGGTGTGGAGTATATTCTGGAAAACACATTTTTTTAAAAATGGTCTCATTTTTCTTTTCTGAATTAAACACTCAAGATAAATAAGAAGTGCTTTGGATGTCACATAATTTTAAAATAAGATCTACTTCAGATACAAATTTCCTACTCACTACTTCTAAAATACTCTACAGAAACTAATTTTTCTAATTCTATAGCCCACCACACTCCCAATTTGGACTAAAAAAATGGTGACTATCACATTAAATATTAGTGATACATATATAGCCGATCCTCATTATTCACAGATTCTGTATTTGTGAATGTACCTACTCACTAAAATTTATTTGGGACCTCCGAATCAATTCTCGCAGTGGTTTTGTGGTCATTTGTGGATATGTGCCATGAGGTGAACATTCCGAGTTGCCTGATATGCATGTTCTCAGCTGAAGTTGAACAAAGCAATGCTCTGCCTTCTTGTATCAGCTCTCATACCGGAAACAAGTGTCCTTTTGGCAGTCTATTTAGTATCACATTTTTCACTTTTTGTTTTTTTGTTTTTTTTTGAATAGCACTGAAGTGCTCTCTAGTGTTCCTAAGTGCATGAAGGTTACAATGTGCTGTTAAAATAAAATTGGAAACCAGGCTTGAAAATCCCCCATGCAGACAAAACCATTTGAGCCATGTAAGCAAAACTAAAACTAGCTTATTTCATGGAAATGAGTGTAACGTAGGTTATTTCTTGTAAATGCATCCGACAATCATAAAAGAAACTTAAGTCATCTCCCTAAAAACGGTGTAAGATAATAACTTTCAACCAATCCCCTGCCATCTGGAAACCCCCACTGTAAGAGCCAATCATTGTAAAGGTTAAACAGTCCTCATTTTCACTTTATAAGCCATCCTATAATGTCATGCTTCTGAGCTTCATGTCAGTTTTGAATTTGAAAGCTCCCAGTTCGTGAACTGTTCTTATATGCACAATCAACTCTTACTGATTTGGTTTAATTTTGCTATTTCCAGATTCTTAGCAATGTCTCATAGAGAGAATATGTGTTGGATAACCTTTGTTCAGGCATGAGTTAGAGGGTTGTTGGCCATGAGTTCAATGTTAATGAATTATATTATATATTAAATAGGTGTCTTTTTTTAAGATTTTATTTATTTATTTGAGAGAGAGAGAGAGCACAAGAGGGGGTAGGGTCAGAGGGAGAAGTATACTCCCTGCTGAGTAGGGAGCCCAATGCAGGACTCGATCCTGGAACTCCGGGATCATGACCTGAGCTGAAGGCAGTTGCTTAACCAACTGAGCCACCCAGGAGCCCTAAATAGGTGTCTTTAAACAGAAACACACATAAACCAAGGTTATGTATTGATAGGTTGATGAATATGTTGTGATCAGAGTTTCACAGAAACCTAACTCTATTAGGTGCAATAGTTCAATTTTTGCTAATTCAGACTTTACGGAAATAACAACTACAAATAACAAGAATCAACAGAACTTTCATATTTGGAAACTAAAAAAAAAAAATTCTTGCTGTAAATGGTGATAATTTCATTTCACAGTATAATTTTATGTTACTGAAATTTTTTAAAAATACATACAAATATAGAAAAGAAAGAGCTCTCCCTTCAGAATGCTCCCTTCAGAATCTAGCAGAAGAGATGAATAGTACACATGAACTAGAACACAGGGTGGTAAATGTAATAATCAACATAGAAATAAAGTGAAGTGGGAATACAGATGCATGTTGTGGCAAATGATTTTGTGATAACTGGAGGAAGAATATGGAATGCATGATGCAATGTATTTGAGCCGGTTTCTTAGAGATGAGTGGGAGTTGAGCAGATAGATTAGGAAGGTGATGGAGTGAATGAAGGCTCAAACACAAATTATCCAACTATGACTTCATGAACAAAAATGCCAAATGCCAATGTGCTATTTTGACAACTGAAATGGCTCTCTAAATAAGAAATGCAATCCTATCTACTATTATGAAATTCTTTTTGAGTGAAATATTTATTCATTAAACTAGTAACAGATTTCTCCTTTATATGATATACACGGCTTGCTTTGTCTGTGAACCACACAGTCCTGAGGGCTGTGGTGCATGGTGAATTTCAACAATAAATGTTTCTTGGATAAAAGGCCAAATAAGTAAAAGAATGTCAGTGGACCTGATCAAAAACAAAAACAGGGGATGCCTGGGTGGCTCAGTCCGTTAAGCGTCTGCCTTAGGCTCAGGTCATGATCCCAGGGTCCTGGGAGCGAGTCCCACATCAGGCTCCCTGCTCAGCGGGGAGACTGCTTCTCCCTCTCCCTCTGCCTCTCTCTTTCTCTCTCTCTGACAAATAAATAAAATCTTAAAAAGAAGAGAAAGAGAAAAAAATATTTTACAGTTGCAGGATAACATTGGAACTATGTCCTATTCTATTTACTTCATCTACATTAAGTGATAGACATATGCCTCATATGCCTCATTCCAGAAAGTGATCAAATATTAGGAATAAAAGACAAGTTTCATAGAAAGTATCCTGTTGGTACTTGTCCTCTGTGGTGAGGCGGGAATCCCAGCAATTAAACACAATGGAGTCCTTGT